GCCATCTACTCTATAGAATCCTATATCTACCCCGTTGTATTGACGTCTCTTGCTTATTTTGTGAGATAACCTCTAGTAGCCATATATTTACACATTCATCGTATCTCCCCTTAGGTAAATATTAATATATGTTTCCTTGATTGCTAATATGCATTTTTGATTTTGTTGGTTTTAGTTTCCTTTTTGTCATATTTTATGCATTGATCTTTGTTCCGATGCAGTGATAAAGAAAGATTATGCGATGCAAAATATGGCTATTTTCTGCAGATAGTTTTCAATCTATTTTCGACGTCTGAACTTTCACTACCCCTGTAGATGGTGTTATATACGGGGTTAGTATCTACAACTATGCAGTAGTCGCTGCACCTGACATCCGCCAACAGGGATATGACACACGCCACGTCCTTATATACTAACAGCCTCATAATTATCGACTTGCCAGCACCATTTCTGAAAAGTGAAAGACGTGTAATTTTTTTTCCTTCTCGAAAATAAAGATCTCTAGAGATACATTCATAGAGTTGTTGTAGGGTGGAATCGAATGGAATTGAAATGTGTCAGGTAATGAGCCCTTGATAATTGTTGTGCTCCTCCCAACTAAAACCGTGGCTAACAATGATCGCATAATGTTCCGCATTGATTGATTTAATTCTTGAAAAAATGTAAAAATAAAATGGGTGGGGATTAATGATACATTGTGTCAGAATATTAAAGAAACACTGTATTTTTGTTTGAATCATATCTGTAGATTTAGTGGTTTAAATCTTGTGGAAATATTTTAGGAATTATATAGATTTTGTGGTTTAAATTTTGTGGAAAGATTTTAGGAATTATGTAGATTTTGTAGTTAAGATGGTTTCAATATTAAGTCTATAATTAGGGACCGATTTAAGGGGACGTGGGAGGCCTAAAACGTGGATGGGTAAAATGGGAAAAGATTGCAAGGACAATATGGACATAGAAATGTGTGGAGGGATAAATAAGGAATTATATACCTCCCCAAATTTTAGGAAATCAATTTTAGCCATGGCATGCAATTTAGAAAAACTTTGGCCATTTTGCTTAACGATAACGTGTGTAGCCATTCCTAAGGATTTCCCATATTAATAGGGTTACCAATTAAGAAAGATAGGGGTAGCCCGCTTATATATTATAAATCTCTTGTTAGGTTCTATCTTTTCAATGTAGGATCTTTAACAAAGAATTTTTTCAAGGTCATAATCAAATATTGGCCAACCAAAGAAAATAAGACTACGAATCAATATAAGAGACCCAGTTTAGGAAAATGTCATCTTTCAAATGAATGTCCATAGGGAAAGGCATTAACATTTATATTGTAGAAGAAGAACCGGAAGATCAAGAAATTGAGAAAGATGTGGAGATCGTAGCCTATGTCGAATCAGGACACGTACATTATTATTTTTTAAAGATGATGATACTATACTGTAGGAGTGGGAGTTCGAACTCACAACCTCCTGATTGAAATTGTACTACTAAGCTATGCTCGCTTTGAAACTGGACTAGAAACTTGGATCAACGTAATCGAAGCTTCTTAATGGCTCTCAGGACTGGAAGTTAATTGGGATAAATCGGATGTTTGTGGTATTAATATTGATTCCAGATAGAGAGAGTGATCTCCCAATTTCTTATTTGAATTCGCTTAGGTGGTAGTCCAAGATCTTTTTATTTTTGGCTTCCTATTTTTGAAAATATTAGGAAGAAATT